CATTTGTAATAGTTGAAGCAAAGAGGGAGTTTTTAAAGAATGTTCTTGCCCCATTTATTTGATGAGCTAGTCTCTCCAATGTACAAGTTCTTGCCAATGCCTGGAAAAGGAAGATTCCATGTAAATTGTGAGCAGTAGTGTCAAAGTGCCAAAAAAACCTAGCTAGAAAGAAGGCCACCATGTAAGATGGAGCGAATAGATGAAAGGTCCAAGGAAAAAAACACACACACATATATAGTCAACCAATAGATTAGAGGCCATCAGACCCCCTGGCTAGAGACTCTTGACCCAGAGTCTTGGGGACTATCAACAATCTGCAACCCAATAGGAATAGTAGCAAAATTGGCTTTGCCTTCAAGATTTGCAACGTTTTGCCTCAGATGCCTAACTTCGGCAAGCAACTCGCGAACATGACCCTCAAGGCGCTCACATTTGTATGAGCAATACATATAGTCCATATAGTTCACATCCTCTATATGTATTGCATAATATTGTTTGAGCCTCCTTATAGCATTCTGGCAGGCATATTGATGGGCCTCTGCAATAGTAGGGTTGGGCCCCCAGTGAAGGTCCATTTCTCATTGTGAACAGTAAGCACAAGGCTGGTGTTATAGCCACATTCATCATTTTCCACCAAGTACACAGGCTCAGGAATCCCAAGGAATCGAAGCAAACCTCTCAGGACACTTTTAAAACAAATAGGGAAAACAATATCATCTTGGCAGTCCATATCTACAAGAAATGTGTAGTAAGATTACATTATAGAAGGAGGCTTATAGCATTTAAGGCACACATTTGTTCTATGAAGCTTCAATGTCTTGATTCTTCCTAGTGAAGTAATCTGAAAGCAACATGATTGCCTAATGAAAAAAAAAAAAACTAAAACAAGGAATAAAGAGTAACCAATAAAAAGAAAAGCTAGACCAATAATATTGAAAAAAAGGCACCAAACATATACAACATGAGTAATGCCAAACAAAATTAGCAAAGTCATTAAAGAAAGAAACAAAAACAAGGAATTGAGTAACCAATAAAAACAAAAGCTAGACCAATAATACACAGAATATCCATAATAAAGACTACATATTACAAAAAAAGGCATCAAACATATTCGACATGAGTAACGAAATTAGCAAAGTCAAAACAGTCACAAGGCCTTGAAGTTAATGCTTCAAGGTGTGAGATTAGAGTCTTTGGGGATGAGAAAAAGACCAAAAAACCTTCAATTAATGCTTAGCCTTTGAATCTCTTTGAATCTTTGGGGATGGAAAGAAGACGTTGAAGTTAATGGTTAGAAGCTGAAAACAATAAAAAAACAGTGAAAAGAAGATAAGGAATCAAGCTAATAAACAAAGAAGATAAAGAATCAATTAATTAATGGATGCAACGAATCAAAGTAGAAGGAGGATGCAAAGTAGGACGATGATAAGCAAAAGACACCCAAAGATATATAGCATGAGGTGGGGTGGGGACTCTATGTCATGAGTGCAAAACGCAGCTACTCAAGAAATCTGAAGTTCTGTAACTCTTCTCCAGCCGTGGGTGTCAAATGCTCCACAGATGTGTTACGTCGTCCAACTTGAATCTCAATATGCCCCGATTGGATTGAACCTCCCATTTTCCAATCTCAATATGCTCCGACCAGGTCAGATCTCAAGGACCACAAATCTGTTATGAATTCAAAAGGCAGTTGGGAGTTGGCGGGTTGGGTGAGGAGTTGATGCCTCTACCTCCAACTGCAAATGAAAAGCTTCCCAACTGTTCAACAGTTGGGAATACACCTCTACCTTCGGACTCCATTGGAAATAAGTCCACGAAGAGAATTTTGATTTGATAAGGCAAACTACGACCAGATCGAAATCCCAAGTCTGAGATAATGTGCAATGCTGGTGCAGAAACAAAATGATGATGGTGCAAAGTAAGGCAGAGTCGCCTTCTTCCCATTTGGAAGATCGGAATCCTGAGTCTGAGAGATCGATGATGTTCTTTGTAGAAACACTCACCTGGTGCAGAAACATCGCCTTCTTTTCATGTCGATCGAAAAGAAACATCCTGTCTTCAACCGAATCTGAGACGATGATGTTAAAAACCGCCATTGAGAAGTTGTCAACGGATTGGTGAAACGTCTTTTAAATGTGCTCAGAAGGCACCGCCATTAAAAACGTCTTTAATACCGCTTTTCTTTAACCGCCATCCTGTCTTCAGCTGAGTCTCAGAAGGCACATTAAATGTGCTCAAAGGCACATTAATACCGCTTTTTCCCCTACTTAATCATCCAATGCGCTTCTTCAATACCACTGCTTGAGTACACGTTTCACCAATCCATTAAACTCCGTTGCTTGAGTACATTAAACCCATGCACCAATCCATTATTCACAGGATTCAAATCATCAATCGGGTTCGCCACAAGGGGACATTAAGTGTGCTCAGAAATCACAGGATTCTTTAATACCAATCCATTAAACTCCGCTGACGTTTCACCAATCCATGCAAGCATAGGATTCGAATCACCAATCCATTAATCACACATGTTACACAGAAAACTTAATACACAAAAATTAATACACGTGTAGATGCTTCTTACCAGCTCCACAAGCGACCACATCTCCTCTCCTTATGCCCCCTTGTCACGGGGGTAGTTCTACAGCGGAAGAAACCCGTGCGGCGTCCTGGTCAAGGCAGGCCAGGACAAGCCTTTCTGTGCTTAGAGGCTAGGAGTTGCCCGATGGGATGGCTCCACCAACGTCAGTAGCACTGGATCATGACCTCAAG